TCAAAATGTATTCATTCTAAATCATTTGTTAAATTCTAAATCCTGGCGAGCTACCTGAAAAAGGGCTGGCGAGCTACTGGTAGCTCTTGATCCACAGGTTGAAGACCCCTGGTTTAGACAGATAATACCTAGGCTTATTTCTTAGTTTTTGATAATGAACTCATCTTACAGTAGCTATCGACCTGGATTTATGTTAGATGAGCCACAAATACTAGATGTATTGAGTGAACTATTTTCTCAGCCTGTACTACTTGCTTAATAGAAGAATCTCAGATGGATCATTACACAGGCTTTCTGCAGTTTGTTTAGTGTGAGCTTTGGTTAGCTCATGTCTGACCATACCCTGGAGTCCATCCATCAAAACTCTGCAAGTCACACAATCAATACATTTCATTCTGTTTCAAACCCCTTTGATCTGCTTTTTTTTTTTACTTTCAAGGCAAGGGTTGCTAATTAGTGTGTATGTGTTTGCACTGCATACAAAGGCTTTATCTAAATGGTGTTTAAACAAACAATAAATACTAATCTTTGTAAAAAATCTATATTTTCTTCCAAGCTATCAAACAAGCTGGAGGACATGTGAATCCATGGTAACGCTTGAAAGCTAAATAGATGTATGACAATAATTTGCGGGTCATTAGATGGGATTGGATCCCACATGGTGAGGCTTAATGCAAGATGCTAATGCTATAAATGTGCCATTAGCGTAGCATTAATTTCCCCCACAGAGGGTGCATTAGTGAGATGGCTATTGTCATACAATGTGCTTTCAGTTCTGTCCATGCCGACGTCAATGAATCATCATCAATGAGTTGACAATGTTTAATGTGTCTTAATATGTAAAAAAAAAAAACACAACAAAAATATATAATCCCAGATGAGTGGGTTGAGCTAAAACAAACTTTCCACTAAAATGATTGATACCTATAACAAAATTTATTTTATTATAATATATATTAAGTATATTAGATCTAACTAAAATTGCTTGAACTTCTGTATATAGATGCTGGAATATAAGATCATGTGATGTGATTGAAATGCCTCCCTCTCTACATACATCACACACGCACACACTGCCACGTGCTACAGTCCCTTCAACCAGATTACATCCAGTCTATGATTGATGACACACCCACAGTAATGAAATTAGCCTATAGCCTCAGCCCGAGTAGCATTTCACAGATTGGCAAAAGCGCCATTGCTGCGACTGAGCTATGATGCTCTTTTTCAAAGTAGTTGTGGTCACGCGATGGCTTTGCTTCATTTGATGTTGTGGTTATAGATCTGAGGAGGCCTAATGATGTATCCTGTTACATAAAGATATTGACCAGTCTCAGAATACATGATATTTTATCAAATGAATTGTCAAATGTGTGTTTTTGTATTTGTATTTGAGATAACAGCAAGTGTGTTTCTAATGTAACTCTTAAAGATTACCTCAAATGTAATGTAATCAGGTTGTAAAAGGTGCTTATTAACTCATTTGTTTTAATAAGAATAGGAAGAAAGTGACGAATAGAGCTTGGAAGTTGGCGGAGCATCGGGATCCGGAAGAAACTATTCTTATGGCAAAAAGTTCTGTTCCGGACTGCCCGTAGCCTAGCCTGGTCGTACCACACCATAGTACAAATTACATTTCGTACTAAGGTCTGGAGGTGCTCCATTGAGCTCCGTGAACAGGTGGGAGGGGTTAACTCCTTTTACAGATTGAAACAATTGGATTTGAGTTTATCGTGACGTATGTAATGTTACATAAAGATATTGACCAGTCTCAGAATACATGATATTTTATCAAATGAATTGTCAAATGTGTGTTTTTGTATTTGTAATTGTGAAGGCCTTTTCCTAACCAGAAAGAGGTTCTGACGTCACAGTAAAGCAACTACAAAAAGTGGGTCCCTTTTTGTATCATAAAGGTTCCATAGATAGTTTCCAATTTCCTGCAAGATATTGTTTATGTCTATTCTTCGTCCATACAACACACATAATGGTTTTACATACATCTTGGGGATATTACATTAGCTTCCTTTAACCTACACTTTTCATCTGAATAATATTGGATTTAAGTCATCATCAAAAGTGACAATTAGGGGAATTAAATTCATAAAATACCTTTACATAAATATTACTTCTTAGCCTATTTCATTAATACATGAGTTTAAAGTAGGCCAATTACAATTCAGAAAAGTCACTGATTGGCAGAATATTAATTCAGTGCCCTGTGCCGAGCTCAGTAAATATCTGTGCGTTTTTCTGCCACATCTCTCTGCGCCTGAGCTTGACTATTTATTTTACAGTCAGAATCTTGGACAATACCCCCAGTATCAGACCTGCATACTTTAAATAATGAATCATTCGTGCTGCCCGCTCAAGGCTGCTACCTGAAGTGTAATGGAAAAACACAGCATTATATCACACAGCGCATCACAACTCAGCCAATATTTTCTTCATCTCCCTTTACACAGTAAATTATATCATTGACACGTTTAGCCATCACCACGGTAACAGATGTAGACTTCAGCCACAGCATGGTGAAGGGAATATGTGAGGTTGTGATTCAAAAAAGGTTTAAAATGTCTACTATGGTGACACATTGTGCAGCTATGGCAAACATTTTAAAGTCTTTTTTAAGCTGTTTAGTTTTTTTCAAGATTCAGACCTTCAATGATTCCAGCCTTGGAACAATATCATACTATCCATGGAAAAAGATAGGAAAATGACTTGTTTTGATGTAGATACCATTAAGGAATTAAATAGGGACCTGAAGGTAAACTTAAGTCTTGCTTCTGCATGCTAAAGTTGGAGGTTTTAGAAATAGAGATTTTTATACTGCTTCTTTTTATGCTAGAGTTAGTGGTTTTATTTTATTTTGTTTTAGTATAGAGTTATTATTCATTTATCTTGTGTTGTGTGCTCCTCATTCCTACTGTCTGTAACTTGTGATGCAACACTGGAATTTTCCCGCTGTGGAACGAATAAAGGATCTCGCCATCTTAATCTTATGTACTACCCAGTGGGGGCGGGTCCCTTCTCAAAAGTGGCCAAAATGACGTGCGCTGACATGCTTGCAATACCACCACGGGCCGATAGGGGTAGACCCGGAATAAGAATTAGCCAATGCTAACATATAGCAGCTTCAGACCTCTCGAAAACACCTTTACAGGATGGTCCAAAAGTTGACTCTTTGCCCAAAGCTCCGTTCCACATGTGTGTCAATGCTGAGGGGAGTGAATTTGTTTGGACCACTCTAGTTTACTCGTTGTGAATTCTTGAAGTCACTCGTTTAAATGAATGGGGCTCGTGCAGCTGACGCATGCGCAGATGCGTTTTCTCACATTTTCCAGCCCCCGCGGCCTTTTTGAATCACTCCATGAAAGCCCAATTTTTGGCCCAATAGTTTGAACGGCGGAGATAGGCGTGACTACGTCCGTTAATATATACAGTCTATGGTACTACCACATATCCCTGCCCACTGCTCTGCACTCATGTCACATGCATCATGATACATACAAGGTTAAAACAAAGTGATTTTTTCATACAATACAAAACAACGCTAAACTGCGCTTTCTACACAGACATTTCAGTTCTGCAGTCATGGAACGTATACAAAAATGAAGTACCCAGTTTACATATCTGAAATAGAAATCCTTAATATATCACAATGACATAACAAGATTTCAAACTTTGATTGATTGGATATATTTCAAGCTTACAAACAGTACATACATTCATACATAGATTTTTAAGGGTTTCCTGTCAAAGCTCAAAAAGAAGTGGACAGAAGTCAAAAACTTTAGTAATAATTTTTTATATTTTGGTCAACCCATCCAACCAATTCACAGAGCACCAGCCCCTCACTGATCCTCCTGTCTCTCCCAACAAAGTATACAATTTACATATTATATAGCTGATTATACAAAATATAAGCGTTATAACCCAAACAAAATACCTGTAATAAATTGAATCAAACATAAATCATCATCCAACAATAATATTTATCTCAGCATTGTTCAGTCTTGGATACGTGACTCCTCTCTGCAAACATTGGCAGTTGAAGCAGTGTGGGATGTGTTATTTATTTTGGAGATGGCTCATATTTTGAAGCACCCACCCTTCTCTACCACCTCTTTTCTCTTTCTATTCTTCTGCCTCCTTCTCTCTTCCTCCTCGCGCTCACATCTCTGCTGTTGACGCTCGCTCCTCCCCCTCCTCTCTCTCCTCTCCTCTCCTCTCCTCTCTGCTCGTTCAGATCAGTGCTGGCTCAGACAAAGGCTCCGAGCTGCTCCGCCACACACCGCATTTGCATCCTCCATGTTATTATTTTTTTTGTTTCATGTTTTTCTCTCAACCCGCCTCGCATAATCTTCCATTCGCTGCCCCGCCCAAAGGAATTTTCTTTTTTAATCACCAATTTAAACGGATATTCTAAGCTACAGGTACTTCACGCTTTTGGATTGGGGAAGTGAAATATGAAGAAAATTTGGTCCAAAAAAAGATTTCAGGTAAGTTTTCTTTTCAGTATTATAGTGTATACTTGTGTTGAAAATGTAGATTTTGATAGAATGCCACACCCTCTACCTGGATGAACATATTATATAGTTATTTTAATTATTATTATTTTTTTTTTTTACATACAATTAAGCATTTATTTTATAATTTTGACATGAATAATGTTTAAATAGTCATGTATGTACTGAGAATATTATGTAATACTTGCTATGCAGACAAGTGAGGACACATCAGGTCAAAACAACAGACTGATCCAGATAAATGGTTGCTATAGAAATGCAAAATAGAAATCTCAAAATTCTCAAAATATTAGTCGAGGAAAAAAAAAGTAAATTTCTCTAAAAACACATACATATTGTTGAATTGAGTTGATATGTTTTCTTATTTCTTATAAAAGCATAATTGCTGAAAAAACTCTTCTAAAGAAATTCTACTCACGCTCAACCCACAAAACATTTTACAATTCCTCAGCACTACAGTCTTCATCAAAAATGCATGCGATTGCGAGCGGGGAGACAATTCTGCTTGATAATAAGTCATCCATCCGTTCGCGGCTGGTGGGAGGCAGGCAGGCAGGTTCCCGGGCGACTCCAAGATGGAAAGTGTGTCAGTGGGCTACGCTGCACAACACACAGGCGGGGGGGCAGGGGGGGACACCTCCACAGCAGGTTGGTTTATGGGGGTCGTCCATAATGTCAATATCAAACCCCGCTGGAAATGGCGATTTGTGTTTTTTTGCTGAGTCGGCTCGTCTATCCCACGATAATGCCTAGAGCCAATGGGGGTTAGATTAGTGTTGTTGCAAAGATCGGGTTTT